CGGAAACCATTAACTTATTTATAAAAACCTAATCGATTTTTTGTCAGATTTATCACATGGTGGGTAATAATAAGGAAATATACAAAAACTAATTTGAAATAACGTTGTCAAATGAGATGATCAGCCAAGCTCTTGGTTGGATTATAGACATTCCTGAAAAAACGGGTAGGTGTCATAGCCCCAAATGAATTGGAGAATTCATTTTCATTGTAAGAATTTGGTCGTCTACTAGATGAAGGTGATCGATTTTAAATTAATCGTTAACTCAACAACCCAGAATAAGATATTTTGAAAGATTGATAGAGTTGAAGTCGAAGTACACGGCATGGTTATCTCGCAAGATCTTATTAAAATTTTGCATAATGACCAATATAATATTGAATCAGAGAATCTATCTATGTCCCGTCATTAAGCATACCCTGGAGCTGCTGGATTCCATACAGAAAAGAGCCGCTTGCCTAATTAAAGACGCGAACATCACTAGCAACCTTGATAGTCTGGAACATCGAAGAAAGGTTGGGGATTTTTCTCTCTTCTATAGATACTATACCGGAAAGTTTTCAAGTTACTTGACACATTTGATTTCACCAAGGGCATTATTAAAACCTACCTTTAATAATGTAAACTTTTGTTTGGCCTTTTGCTATCAAAAATAAAATTGTATATGGATTTTGGAATTATCAGTTTCTTTAGCCATATCAGAATACTGTAACCATGAATTCCACCAAGCGATTGCAGTTAAATTGGATAGGCCAGTCTAAAGAGGCTTGTTAATTTTACCTAATAGATGCAAATGTGTGTGGTGGCTTTGATCACGCATCTACTTTTATTGGGTTACTTTGTTTTTTGGATGGATATTGTTTAGTTCATAATTAGGATTTACTACCTAACAGGTAATACCGTCTAACATTCTATAAAAGATAACATTACATTGCTAGTTCCATAAATTAAAGTTATACTTATGTTCCTGTATTATAATGTATGCCTTCAAAATACTCTTCCATAACTCCCAAATAGTAGGGCACTAAATTCTCAGAAATGACTGACTTTTTGCCTTAATATGTCTCTCGTAGTGGCGTACGAAAATTATATTGAACAGATGAGGAAAAATGATGATAAAATATATAGAATCACAACCTCAACAATAATGTTTTCTTTTTAATGCAATAATAGTTCTGGGAATTTAGTGCCTACTATTATAAACTATATCCATCCAACGAAAAAAGCAGCCTGGTTACGTCATATATACTATGACGTAGGGTTTGAAATCAAAATAAGCTGGCCATAAGAAACCATCAACAAACATATTAATCCGGTCAATCTAGACATTGAGATACTCGTTTAGAAATGGTGGCTCTAAGAAAAAAAAGTATTGATACCTTTTTTGTAGAGAATTTTATGATCTACAATTTCTATTTGAGGTTATTTTATGATAAAACTGTGACCATTTTCCCGAAAATCGCAAAAAACCAATTTTTTTCGAGATTTTTGACTTTTGACCTCGAATAAATTTTTTTCCAGGCATCGCAATCATTCGGAATTTTAAAATCTTGTTTCCGATCTCTTGGTGTAAGGGTCTTTTATCCACCATTCTTCAACTCCATGCTAACAGATGATCTAACATAGCCTTTCTGTGCCATTAGTGTGTCGATTAGTATGAAGATGTTCTTCATTACAGCAGTTTTGACTCCGAAATTCAAAATACATTTTATTTTGCTTTTAATTTCACATACTCAAGTAGCAATTCCGTATTCACTTTATGGGAACGTTCGTAGGCAAATTTTATTATGTAACTTCAGTCATTCAATAACATAATTTATTATGTGATTATGGTAATAATTGAGAATGAAACAGAGTGCATTATTCTGTTTACAAAATGAAGTAGGATTTTGCATATTTCAGAATACGCCATTGAAAAAAATTAAATGAATGGAAGAATGTATATTGAAAGTGGCCTAACCGACACAAGCAGTGATAATAATGATTTTGGAGATCAATACAGGTGATAGCAGGTATACTATGTTCGTTCTGTCTCATTCACTTCCGGATGTGGGCCCTCGATTTGGACCTCGATTTGGTCCTTGATTTGGACCCTCGATTTGGACCTCGATTGAGGCATAAGAACAATAATAATTGGGTATACAAGGTGTTGTTTCAAAACACACCAAATACAGGGTGTGTACAGCGTTGAAAAAAAAACATGGCTGCCAACGTAACAGAAGGAAAATATATGAAATACAGAGTGTGTACAGCGTTAAAGAAAAAAACATTGCTGATATCAAAATATACAGCGTGCAGCTTTAAAGAAAAAAACATGACGTCCAACACCCAATGAAACTCACGTTTCATTGGGTGTTGAAGGCTGTGTGGCTGCATGGACCTCGATTTGACACACACACACACACACACACACACTGACACACTGCATATCAATCAACCCTATAACTTGAGAGAAGTATTTGTTACATTCGATAATGGTGGACATAAAAATGAATCTTGGCCCTAAAATTGGGTAAAAATGATTTCATCTATAATCAATGATAGTCATTTGCCAGTTTTGGGTGTTGAAATACCAAAAACCTCGAAATTTTGGAAATTAAGACTAATTTTTCATGACAGAACATTTGGTGATTCACATTGGAGAAGTATCAAAATAATGTATTTGATGTGTTTTGTAACAACACCTTGTATACCCAAATATCATTGTTCTTATGCCTCAATTGAGGGCCAAACGGAGGGCTCAAATCGAGGACCCAAATCGAGGACCAAATCGAGGTCCAAATCGAGGGCCCAAATCAAGGACCAAATCAAGAACCAAATCGAGGGTCCAAATCGAGGGCCCTAATCGAGGTCCAAAACGAGGTCCAAGTCAAGGACCCACCTCCAAATCAAGGACCCACCTCCAAATCAAGGACCCATACTGAAAACTTGCACTCCAACCAAACACCTGTAACAGCGTCCCTGTCACTTGTCATTCTTTTCCACACCCACACCACCGGCAAAGACCAACAACCCTTAACACACACACGCAAGGGTTGCTCTTTGCGCCGCCGCACCCTAATAAACCTCGCTGGGGTTGTTCTTGCTCTTCCTACCACCACCACCGACCCTCCATCCAACTGACAATCGCCATCCGACTCGCCATCCGACTACACCGGAAGTGAATGAGGCAGAACGAACGTAGTATACCTACTGGTGATATGTGAGCCCAGATACTATTAGGGAAACGTTTGAATTGAATATCACAACTTATTTATAATGAATATTTCACTCCACATTGTTATGGTTACGACTGGAACTGGTTTTGATAAGTAATTTCTGTGACGGGAAAAAGTTTGACATTTTATCTCTGATAAAAAGTTAGTACTTTTTTCCGATTCGGCTTTGGATTCTGCATTGAATTCTGAATTCAGCCATATAGCACACTTGTAGTTTTCCTTGAATACTGATGAAAAAAGGCAATTTTATTGCATACTATAAAGAGGAGTTTTTATGGGACACCCTGTATATACATATACACATAAGTAAAGGTAGAAATTTAATTTTTCAATAATAAATCGTCGTTTTTTCCGTCACAAAAAAAAATTGTGTATTATACACGGGAAAAATATTAGATTTTGACTCTCGAGCTAAAATCTAATAGTTTTTTTCCTTGTATAATAAATAACTAACGAAATACGTATAATTCCTGACAGTATTAATATGTGGTATAGTTTTAGTAGTTGTTCATGATAATATAAACAAATTTGCGAAAATAAACTTGGATGAGTATTAGGTAATCAGTATTCGTGATTTGACAATAGATAGCGCTGTTTCGACTCACCATGGGTTTTATCAGTAGCGTTAGGCTGAACCACGAATGTATTGTTCGATCGTCTTCGTTCAAGTCAGGTTGGAGCCTAGCTCCCTTACCCTTGTGGCTGGCGTTTGTCAGAGGGATAAATGGGACATAACTGAATTTGAGATGACGGCATGAAAGTCCTCAGACATCAGTACCGCCCTTCACGGTGAACCCCTATCTGGCTGGGGTGAGATTGTTCATCCGTCGGGGCCTTCTATTTCGGGAGGGGTCGACTACAGCATAATCTATAGCTTCCCTAACTAACGGATTATCGCGAGTTTCCGCACCATCGACAACTCACCGATTTTTCGACTGAATGGACTGCTGAATGAATGGACTGCTGAATGAAAGGCCGCTGCAAATCTCTGCAGATGGTTTCCTCCAGTTTCCTCCAGTATGTCCTTTTAAGAACACTCCAGCTTGGAGTGTCCTTAAAAGACATACCTGTGGAGGTAGGGGCGATGTCAACAAAGACACCATCAATTGGATCGATAGTAAAAGCAATCCTCGGATATCAAAAATAAACGAGGCTATACAAGGAAGTTTTCGACCCGCCAAGGTCTCAGCAATGTTGTTAATTTGTACCAAGAATGAATTGCTGGACTCCTTGAATGAAAAAAGTGAGCAAGTAGAATTAGTAACACTTCTCACAAAGACGCCATCTGTCGGAGTATTTCAGGAATAACAAAGATAAACGAGGCTGTCCAAGCTGGCCAGTTGCACACTTCAGTTTTTCAACAGTAATATTACAATGTTGGGTGAGAACATTTGAATAACAAAAAAAATTGAAGTCTTGTAGGAAATGACGTCTACAAACCAAGAAAAATCATAAGCACATAGATAGGAACGATTTTTGTAGGAAAATTTTCACTTCAACAGAAGATAAAAATCTTATGTAGAATAATTTTTCATAGTTTCAAAAAAGGTATTCATTTCCAGAATAAGTGGCTTTCAGGTATTTACCTGACTTGTGATAATAGGTTGATTTTCAACCTAGATTTTTTATTTTAGTCCATAAAAATTTCGAAAAATTATCGAATATCACTGTTCTAACCCTAGCTCCCCTTAAAGTAAAATCCTGAGTGCTTCTTTGATTTGAATGTCAGTGAATAGTTCCAATCGTCATTTTGATTTCAAAGAATATTCAATATTTATTTACCTTATATCTAAGATACCGCCAATTTCTTTCAATGAGTGTGCTTGCTGAAGAACTATACGTCTTAGAGATTTCTCGACTAGGTGTGTTGGGATGTGAAGTTTTATCACTTTCCTCAGAAAATGCTCGAGTTATGAGTATCCTCGGAGACCTTTCCGTAGTTTTTTCCAAAACATTTTTTGATATTTCTGTTTTTCTTGAGTATTTTTCTCGCTGATCTACTCCAAAAAATTTTTGTAAAAGCATGTTGGTCGAGCTTGGTTTCACTGGTAAAGTCTTGAGTTTAAATTTCAAATATATTTCTTCTTCTGTTATCATTGAAACGTCTTGTTCATTGTTGGGAACCTAGAAAAAATCATGAAATGAGTAAAGTGTATAGACTTGAATATCAGTTCAATGTGAAAGAAGGGTTTTGGCTTTCTACTTTTCAATCCTCATACAAAACATACTTAAAATCAGCACAAGCTGTTCGGATTGAAATATGTTCTTCTCCACATGAATATTTTTTTTGCATAAATGGCTCCTTTGAGACTTTAAATCGTCTTTCGAGATATGATTGTATAGTCATAAAGTTCAGTACAAGCTGTTCTGATTGAAATAGGTTCTCCTTCACATGAATAATTTTTTTTGCATAAATGGCTCCTTTGAGACTTTAAATCGTCTCTTGAGATATGATTGTATATTTATAAAGTCAACTGAAAGTCATTTGAATGTCATCTGCCATTCAGAATTCAAAAATAGTTCAAGTTTACGGCTCACAAACCTAACTGTAGTTTCTTTATTCAGTGTGTAAAAGCCAAATAGAATACATGTACAATGACACGTACAATCCCCAATTTTTTAAATGAGAAGTATAGGCTTGTGATACATCGTTTGAAAGGTCTCTTCATTCTTTATTCAAAAATGTTATCGCTTTCAAGTTTATTGCAACAATTAAGATAAAATAAATTAAAATCATATGGTTACCGAATTTCGATAAAACATACTCAAAAACTAAAATGTCATGCAAAACGTATAGAAATTTAGAATACCTACGTGAAAGAAATATGGATGGTAACGAAGTAGATGTTCACCGCGAACGTCTTGGCAACATCCTAATCTCAAATAAAACTGTTTTCTAACATTATTCAACATATCAGGCGTGGCCGACAAATCGCAAGAGTTATTCGTTGTTTAAAGTCATTCAAATCTGAAAGTTTAGTTTTGTACAGATTGCTCTTCACATATCCCCATAAAAGGAAATCTAATGATGAAAGATCAGGTGATCGCGCTGGTCCTTCAATCGATCCTCTCATCCCTATCCACCGATTGGGAAATGTANTTTCGCCTTAAGACACTTGCCCCAAGGCTCTTCAGTACCAAATTGGATAACATTATAGAAAATACACGCAATTCATTCATGAATTACGATTTTTTAATGTCACGGAATAAGCTTGATCTGCTTATGTCATCGATGACATCGTTCACATTCATTCACCTATTCGATTCAATACCAGCCAAGAGGAGATGAATGAATTCCCTTTATTTTACCTCTCTCCAAAACTCCTTTTCTGTAATACACATTATCCCCTTCATTTAAAGGCCGCAGGTCTTTTGCTCATCTATTGTAATAGAATTTTTTGTTTTTCATGTGCTAATATTCTCTTTTCTTGAATCCCTTCAGTGAGTGGTATTTGGCATCAGCTCACTTTCTAAAATGGACAGTTTTGTTATTGGGCATAATTTGTGCTGAATATTTTTGTAATTGTTTGAGGGGTGTATTTTGGTATTCCATTAGCATTACAAAAATATCCGTACGCTGTTCCTTAGCCTTCCTCACCATGTTTTTCGCAATCTGGACGGCTCGTTCCGCTAACCCATTTGATTGCGGGTATGTTGGGGAACTTGTTGTTAATTTTATATCCCATTTTTTGTCAAATAAATGAAAGTGATAACTATTGATAGGCATATTATTTGATACCAGCTCTTCTGGTATACCGTTTCTTGCAAATGATTTTTCAGTTGGATTATTATACACAACGCAGTTTTACCTTTTAATTCCTAGATTTCCAACCAGTTGGAGAAGTAATCTATTACTACTAAATAATGCACACCTCTAAATTTCAATATATCAGTTGCAACTTTCTTCCAAGCTCTATTAGGAACTTCGTGTGAAATGAGTGTTTCTTTTCTATTATTTCGAAATTTGTTACAAATTTCACAACTTACTACTTCATTTTCTATGCTCTTCGTTATTCCTGGCCAAAACATGCATTGCCTTGCTCACATTTTCATTTTTGACATTCCCACTTGTCCTTCATGTAAATCCTTCAACATTTTAGTTCTCAGATTCGAAGGTACCACTAATTTGTGATCAACAAACAAAAGATTGTCCGCCACTGATATTGATTCCTTCATGTTCCAATACGAACTAACAGGTCCCTTGATATCATGTCTATAACGTGGCCATCCACGTGGTGATAAGATATTACCTGTTGCAGAACAGAAT